GCTGGGCGAGGGCGGCGAGCACCATCAGATGCTCTTCTTCCTGGACGTCGGCCGCGGCTTCCTCCTCCAGCAGCGCGGCGAGCTCTTCCTCCTCATCCGAGTCCATCGCCGAGACAGTCAAAACGCCGAACACCTTGCGCTCTGTGGACGTGTACCCGCCGTTAAACCGTGCCTCCGCGGCCGGAAACGGCGGCCGGAAACGCCCAGCTGCTGCGGGAGGGGCTGCCGCGGCGAAGCGCTGCTATTTCCGGCAGGGAATGGCTATCTAGCGGAGTAGGCCGGCGACCGTCGCTGGGATATAGCTAGTGGTGGCCGAGGGCGCGGGGGGTGCGAGGCGAGTCGGGGGAAGAAAACCTTGACTTTTCCCCTGTCGGTGTGGGCCAGGCGTGCTTTTCCCTAGCGTCGGAGCCCCCAACGGCTTCCCAGCGCGCCGGGTTCGGCCTGTGACCGCCAGGCGGAAAAAAGGTCCGAACCGGCAATTTTCGGCGTCCTGGGGGCGCGACTGGGCCGTTATTTCGGCGCCGGTGCCGAAAAAGTGACCTGGGGGGCCTGTTGGGGGTGCGGCTGGAGATGCCCTAATCAACTGCTAGTTGTGCATTCAACCAACTGCTTGCCTTTGGTTCGGTGCTCTGTGCACGAAAAAAATACGTACTTGTCTGCCAAAGCATCTGCGCATGTGCACGGGAGGATGGATCTGCTCTCACTATGCATGCGCGTCAGAGTGTTTTTTTTGGCAAATTTGACAATTTTGACCTATGGACAAAATCAATTCACAGAATGAACTGGGACGAAATCAAGCATACAACCGGTGTTGTTTGTCTGATTGATTATCGAGAAGCCAAACCATTCTAACAATTTTTAAAAAAACTTTCTTGTCAACACAATTATCTTTCGAATAAAAATAAACTTAACTATGCTTACTAGATGCAAAATTCAAAGCATATGTATCCAAAGCATTCTTGTCAAAACAAATATAAGTTCAACACAAATAAACTAAACTAGGCCTACTTCATACAAATATATTTTCCATAAAAATAACATGTCAACCTATGTATCCAACCATAATTTTTCGAAAAATAAACTAAACTAGGGTTCCCGAAATCAAACAAACAATATTTCTAATACATGCAACATTATAATACATGTAAGATTCTAATCTAATCAAATCAAACAAAGGTTTCCCAAATCTTCAAAATACTATATTTTCTATGGATAGAAAGAAGGGGATCGGAGGAGAGTACCTTCTAGGATGGATTGGTGACGAAACCCACGGACCAAATCGTCGGATTTGAAGGATTTGGGAGAGGGGTTTAAGAGAGGGAGTGGATAAGGCCGCCGCCACGGCTTCTTTTCTTTCTGGAACTGCTGCAATGGGTGGGTGGGGGAGAAGAGGGCCGCCGCACGCCTGGACATAACTCACAATGCAGCGCCCGACGGCTAGGCGCTTCACATTGTGTGGCGCCTAGCACCGAGGCGTTGCACAGCTGGGTGCGGGGCCCAGGGCTGCCACGGTGGACTGGCGTGCAACGCCCGCTAGCTAGGCGTTGCACCGTAGGGTGTGGCACCGGCGTCGCGGGCGCTACACAAAAAAGTCAGGGGTGTGAAATAGTTTCACACCCAGTTCATTCTGTGAATTGATTTCATTCAGAGGTCAAAATTGTCAAATTTGCCTTTTTTGACGCATTCTTCAATACAACTACCTGTATGACAATGCTCACCAAAAGGAAAATATATATAGGCACCCAGTGCTTAAAGGTCGTCTTCTTCTTCTTCTTTCTTCTTAACCTAACCTAAACTAAATTTAAATCGTAAACCTTAAAAAAACAGATAAAACCCAAAATTAACCTAAACTAAAGTAACGCTACACTAAATTAAACCTAAACTAATTCTAGAAAGACAAAAGAAAAAGAGAGAATGCCTCGAGCTCACCTTGGGAGGGGGCGGCCGGTGGAGGAGGGGGGCGGTGGAGGAGGTGCCCGACGCAGTGGAGGGGCCCGAAGCCGCAGCCTGCCTCATGGCGGGGCTCCAGCGGCCGCTGCAGGGGAGGTGGGCGGGGCGACCGCGGCTGCCGGCGGGCGGCCTGGGCAGGGCGGCGGGCGGTCAGGGGCGATGGG